GTTTATTACTAATCTCAAAAGTCGTAGGTCTTTTATTCATATCTGAATTAATACATTGTTTGGCTAATTTAACATAACAGTTTGGTGTCTTTATAACAAATTCAGGTCGTAATCCGTGACAAATCATTGCCGCTAATTCAGCATCAAACTTATAACCATCAAAGGGCCTTCGTCCAGTTAATATTTCTATCATAATCATTCCGAAACTGTAAATATCAGTGGCTTGAGTGAACTGTTCACCTTTCAAGACTTCAGGTGCTATATATGGTAAAACGCCATAAATATGACCATTTTGTTTTTCATCAGTCGAAACTGATGAACCTAAATCAATATAAGCTTCGTATCGTTCTTTTAGTAAAATATTACCAGAATGTAAATTCCGATGCATAAAGTTTTTAGTATGAATATCTGATAGATCTTTAATAATATCATATAATATTTTTAGTTTAGTTTTCCACTCCAATTTAAATATATCTTTAAGATTGTCACCTAATGATCCAAATCTTGCGTAATTTAACACTAAAATAAAATCTCCGGTATTTTTATCCATTGATATGCCACGGTATTTCCCAAATTCGTGATACGCCTTTAACTAAAAAACGGACAAAATATAAACAATTAATTCATAACCAATATAAAATTATGTACGTAAAAAAAAAAAAAAATACCTCATTTAAAAAAATTTTTTTATTTTTATGCGAATCTTTTATTATCTTGATTGCAGCTTCATACGTTTCGTAGGATGTTTTATACACTATGGAAAACCCACTTTTGCCTACTTCTTCAATATTTTTAAAATTATCGTATTTTATCCAATGGAAATAGTTTTTATGAACATTACAGTCATGGTCAGCAATAACGGATTTTAAATACCATTCAAAAGCTAAATCTTTATCCTTTTCTACACCAATTCCTTCCTGATAACACCAACCAACTTGATGCATTCCACAATAATTTCCATATTCAGCACTTTTTAAATAATATTCAAAGGCCTTTTGTCTATCCTTTTCAACTCCATATCCATTTTTGTAACAAACTCCAACATTATATATCCCACTAGTATGTCCCATCTCTGCAGATTTTTGATAATAAATAAATGCCTTATGTTCATCTTTTTCAACTCCAATTCCTTTATGATGACAAACTCCAACATTATATATAGCAGTAACGTCATCCATCTCTGCAGATTTTAGATAATAAATGAATGCTTTATGTTCGTCCTTTTCAACTCCAATTCCTTTTTGATAACAATATCCAACACTTCTTGTTCCACAAGAGTCTCCCATTTCTGCAGACTTTCGATAATAGATGAATGCCTTATGTTCATCCTTTTCAACCCATTTATCATGACGATAACAAGTTGCGAGAATGAATTGAACCATAGGATCTAATTGATTATCTAAGCAATATTTTATAACATTGTCTGGATTTTGCTTTTTTTTTACTAGAAATTGTTCTAAGGCGTCAATCATTGAACGAAAACTTTTGCCTTTCAAAGCTTCTTCATAATACAAATTATACATTTCTTTAATAATTTCATTAAGAAAATCTTGTGGCTTATCTCCTAAATACAATTGGTTAATTTCGTTGGATATTTTAGTAATATCTGATGGATTGTCAATTTCTTCTGGTCGTTTTACAATTGACATTTTGAAGTAATGGTAGAATATGTTACATGTGTTATGTTAATTGAAAATATTTATGTATTGCATTGCGTAACACAATTATGTATACGTATATTACATGTGCATTGTAACACCTTTTAATATATCGGCAGATTTTTAAAGAACCATAAAAATTACATTATAATCGTTAGATCATTAATAACAAATTATCTCTTAAACCGTTTTGCAGGCAAATTTGCCTGCAAATTTTTGATCAAACTTGTTTTTGCTAATACAACTTACGTAAATCATTATGTCGACCTCAGTAAAATATGAATACTGGCATACTACTTACATAGGCCTATTAACTGGTCCTACTTTTAACCATTTTTAATGGCCTTGGCTTTATTTTCTCTTCAGTTTGATAGAATAATCCTTGTAAAAGTCGCATATGTATAAATTATGTCTGTTATTGTCGGAAATTCCGATATCCGACATACATGATTTTAACGGGGTAAATATGTGATTATCGGATAAATTTTTGTAGGCAAATTTGCCTGCATCAACTTACGGTTTAAGGGATACTAGTGTTGGATTAAAATAAAGCATTCAATTAAGGTTGGGGTAATCAGTTAGACGTAAAAATTTATATTTTATTTTTTTGTTTTAAGGTACTTTGTAAAACGGACCGATCAGTTGGCTGTCTTTGTAATAGTAATTTAAGAGTCGTTACTGCTGAGTTTACTATTGTTTTATTAGATCTGGAAATTAATAAAAGGCTCAATTTGGAAAATCTGCCAATATAACGAATTTGGCCGGGGTGTAGAAGTTTCGTACTGTATTTTATTATTACTGTACATAAATGTATTGAACAAAACTTATAAACGACAGTACAGTACGATACTGTACGTTAAGCCTTTTAATATTGTTACCGAAAGCAATTTAAAATTACTACGAAAGGAATCTCTATTATCATGGATTCAAGTTTATTGCTTACCAGAATAATTAATTTGTTGGATTGTGACTGGCAATCTTTATAATTTTAAATAATTTATTACGTAGATAAATTCAGTATAATGATAAATTAATAAAAATGTTTCAATTTAAAAGTTTAATTAATTTATATATGCCTTATATTCGAATTTTCGATGTCAATTAAAAACAATCACATTATATTATTGTATATCGATGTAACTATTCGCAAAGTGCATATTAATTAAAAACTCAAATATACAAAAGTTTTTGAAGTTTCTCTTACAACATACTTTTCTTTTTTTTAACTCATTATTTTATCCTTTTGACTCACAAGCTTTTATGCTCAATATTAAAAGCCTTCTTATTCTTCAATATTAATGGATTCACTTGCAATTAATGTTTTAAGATTTTTGATAGCCGAGATTTAATTAGAATGCTGGTCTTTGCTTCTAAATCCATTTGTTAGTATACTGTATATTCATTTACAAAATAATAATATATAGAACTTACCGTTTTTTTAACGATTCAGTAGTTTTTTGTAAGGTGGTTAATCTCAATAACATCCATTTTTTTAATTTAGTAATTTGTGTAATAATAAAAGTAGCAAATTTAAAAGTCATACCATTTGCCAAAAATTTTATTTCAATTTTTTTTTAATAAAATAGATTGAAAAACTTGAATTATATCGTACGACTTATATCATTGTCAGATGTACAAAAAAATCTACGCTTTCCAAACTCAATTACTATAAAATTTACAATTTCATGATCATTATGTTCAGGGTTCATTATCCCTTAAATCGTTTGAAATTCAAGGAAAATTTGTCCTGAATTTTATTATAAAAAACTTCTGGTCTATTTTTTAAAAAATTTAATATATTTAATTGAATTTTTTTAATAAGAATTATATTTTGTAAAATTTATATTTAAATTATAAGATAAAAATTTTAATTAAACAATTTTTTGATAAACTATTTAAATATTAATTTTAGATTTATAGTTTTTTAATAAAAATTATAATTTAAATAAAGGATGATAATTTTTATTAGTATAACTTTTATAATTTATTTGTAAAACTTAAAACTTGTATTAAAGTAAAAATTTTTTATAAACAAAAACTAGGGATGTTAACTAGTTAAAAATTAGCTATATCGGTTACAAACTGGCAGTTAACTACATAAACTAGTTTAATTAGTTATATGAAACTAGTTATAAAATTTATATAACCGGTTATTAAAAACTAGTTAAATTTAAGTTAAATTAACTAGTTAAATTATTCATTAACAGCTAAAATTAACACTTATATATATATATATATATATATAGTTGTAATTAATATAAAGTTTTATTCATTATCGCTATGTAAGTTTGTTTAAAAAGAATATTAGTTTTTCATTTTAAAAATCGAAGATTTATTTTTGCAAGTTTAACCGGTTAAATAAAAAATTTGTACTTGTTATTATAACCAATTACTTATATGAAAATGAATTAGTTATTATAGTTTATGACATAGTAACTAACTTGATAAACTAGCTAGTTAAACTGGTTTTGACTCTGACGAAAACCGTTTAAGTCCCGAACTGAGTCAATATGGTTAAATCCTAACTACTTAACATCCCTATTTAAAACAATTCAATAATTAATATGCAGGTGTATAATCCTTGAAACTCTTAAAACATATAATCAGATATCTAATTTTGACCAAATACTTTCAGTTGTAAATTTAATTTTCGATCCAAATTAACAATACTGACTTACATCTATCATGTGATCACCAACCAATCGCATTGCTAAATTTGCACATTGAACTTGTGTACCATTAAAAAATCCGCAATTAATGGATTTGCAAATTTACAGACAGTTTTGATTAATTATAATGTGCCGTACCCTAACGTACAGTTGTTTTACGATGAATCTCAATAGTCTTCTGACCACTGTTCGAGATTAGAATTAAATCGTGATCATAATAATTCATTTAACAATTGACAAGTAATCAATTTTTATTAGGATTTTTGTCTTTAAAAAAGCCGTTAGGCACTCAAATTTGGTCCGAATTTCTTATTTATAATTTGAAATTTTATTTTTGGTGTGAAGAAATCATTCACTTTTATAATCATTTTCATTTGTTTTATACATTTCGGTACAACAATTATTAGACCTAGCATACCAATTAATTTAACAACCCTGCTTAGTCGTTAAATCACTCTTAAGAAAATGAAAACGAAATTTTAATAATTTATAGCATTGATTCAATAAATTTGACCGATTTTGAGCTTGATACCACTAAGCGAAAATGGGACACATATTTGGGTTTTGGTTATTATCCCAAATGAAGTAGAAATCCCGATTTCCAACCCAAACTATGCAATTCAAAAAAAGATCTGGGTTGCAATCCCAATAATCAATCATCATCATATGGGTCCTATGTCGTATTTAAAAAGTTTTTTAGAATAAATGTGACCTAATGAATGTTTGTAAATTAATTTTATTATTTACCTGTCCCGTGAAATCTATTCGTTTCCCCCTTGTTCTCCGTCCTGGAATAATTGTAGAGGTATCAAGGCCTTCGAGTTCATGCTCTAAATTGAAAGATAATTACGATAAATAAATATTACATAAAAGAGATAAGGATCAAATATAAACTTACTTAAATCATCTGAGTCGTCACCAACAGAATCTTCGTCAAATGAATCGTCATCATTACGTTTCTTTTTTTTATTAGATTTCTTTTTTACTACGACCTCATCGTCATCAGATGCTTCTTCATCTTTCTTTCGTTTTGTCACCTTCAAAAGTTTCAATTTGGTATACAAATCATCATTAAGAGATAGTATTTAATATATATGTGTATGCAAATTTGCACAATATCTTCGAAATCATTGTTCCCTACTTTTTTGTTGCTGCTGCTTGATTTTTTGTGTTTCGTCGAAGACGCGACTTTTTTCTTTTTTTTTGATCCGGGATCACTTGAATCCGATGGTTCATCAGATACATCGAAATCTTCAGAATCAGATTTACCTTCTGATTCAGATACGTCTTCTAATAAAATATATGTAATATGAGTTGTTAGTCTTTCTTTATTCAACCTAAAATTTACGCTAACCTTCATCATCTACAATAAATCCGTCGTCTTCATATTCTTCCTGACGTGCAGCTCTTCCACTCCCTCCTAGAGGAGGGAGCGGTTTACTCTTTGCCGGTGAAGAGCTAGAAGATACATTCGTTTTCTTAATTTTCGGAGAGCTACTGGAATTTGCCTTTGCTCTTGTTTTTTTTGCCGATTCCTTGCGTTCTTCCTGTTCCTCACTTTGTTATTATATTTAAAGACGATTTAAATTATTAAAATACTATTTGTTCGCTACTTGTAACTAATGAAGCCTTGGCTTCCAAATAATCGAATTTCACGAAAGACTTCGAACGTACAGTTTTTCAGCGGCTTTGGCTTTTGCCCTAGCTTTTTCTGCTAATTCCTCAAGCTTTCTTTTCCTCTCTTCGGAGGATGACATTGCTTCAGACCTAAAAATACGATAAGAGAAACGCGAAATTTCCGATAGGAAAAAAAAAAACGTGAGACTATAAATTTGTTTATGTATATAATATATATACACACCTGTTTATACCTGTTAATAGTTCACGTGACCATAAGTGATGCTTTATTACCCAGTAGTGGTTCCCAGTAACGGTAGAGCGTCTTTATCTCGTTCTCGAGGGTAGTGTTGTACATTTTCAATCTCCAAGGCCTTTTTGGCATGTCCCGTCCAAATGTCCAAGATTGTTCAAATTTCAATAATTTCAATATTTATCAATAAATTTGTATAAAAAAACAAATACATAATTATACATTTTCTTTAATTCTGGAATATTTTTACTTAGGAAATTAAAATACGGAAAATAAGTATAAGTATATATTAATAATTAAAATTATTAATAAAAATTTTTGTCAGAATATCCAAAAAAGTCCAAACACATGCCCACGGGTTTTTGTCCTATGTCCGGGTAGGACCACCAACCTTCTGCGACAGGCC